TCCAAGAATAAAGTTTTCAAAAAATCTAACCCCCCTACTATGGCTCTAAGTCAACAACATTTTTTGATCCTCTTCCATGTGCAAATGAAAAACATGATCTTTTAACATGATTCACTTGCCTCTGTTGCTTCATAATCTCCTCAACTGGTACGTAAATTCGTCGATCCAACGATGAATCCATTGAAAAAGATCTCCTAATTGGTTGAACTATAAATTGTTCATCCTTGTTTCTAATGTCAATGCATTCATGACTCAATTTTTTGACTTTCTTTCTTGTGACTTTTGGTTCCATATTGTTAGCACAATGGCTAGTTGATAATTCCCTTGAATTTAGTCTTTCTTGAGTTCCAATTATTTCTATCACAACATAATCTTCATCTATGAAATTGTTACTTGTTTGAGGATCTTGATCTTGAGGAATGATGATTTGATCCAAAGGGAACTTTTTTGAAATGTGTGATGAGAGGCTATTTCTGCAAAGTGGACAATTTGTGTTATTTTGTAGCCAAATGTCAATACAATCAATGTGAAAAAAATGGTCACAATTTGGAATGACTTTGAGATTCTCATCTTCTTGAAATTCATTTAAACAAACAACACATTCACATGTTGTACTTGCATTGTTGATCCATTCACTTTTCTTGTACCTAAAAATGGGGATCGAACGAATAATAGATTCGTTCAGTCCTCGATTTTCAGGTGAGTGAATTGTTAAAGAATTTTCAGTATGTCGTCTTATCGAGGATGAAAACGGCCTTGAAAGATCAATCCTTTGCCAATTCAAGCAACATTTGATGACAAAAATGTAGTAAAAGACTGTAAGAAACCAATGGCTAATATGCCTATGATGGCTATAGCCATGATTGGAAAACTAGAATGGGATGATGAATGCAAATTACGTGGCGGATCCATATTGGTTGAAAAACTCGAAAAGATAAGTTAATCAATTAAAATATGCTAACGCAATTGATAGTTTAATGTATGCTATGCATCGCACTAGGCCGGATATTATGTGTTTTGATCTCAAAGGACCAAAATCCTATGACGAGAAAAGGATAAAAATGAAGAAAAATTTGGTGGATATTTGATAAAACAAATTAGAAGTAGTATAAGAGAATATAAATCAAACGAATTAATGAGCTTATACATTATATAATATATGAGTTTTAGGAAATTCTTCTAAGGTATGAATTAAGGAAAGGGATGTGTGAACATATAGCTACTTAGTTGTTGACTTCTGTCTTGTCCTCTAATGAGAAAATACTTTAGTTGGCAAGGTAATATTTATAATATCTATTTTTTTTTTCGTTTGATTTGATATCTCGATATCGAAATACTATTACGTTCTTTAAAAATTATCTCATTAAAGTCGTAATATTATAGTTTTGTGGTCCATAAGTCCTTGTTTGATAGTATAGTAATTGAATTTTACTCATTATGAGAGTGAAATTACCAATAATTTTTGTTGTTATAGTAAATAATTAAATTTTAAAGGACAGTTAAATTAAACGATCCGAGTTCGTGATTGTCTTATTCCATTATTATATTTCTGGTTTACCTAAAATTTTAATTTATTGATTGTAATGTCAAATTAATTTGGTGACCAAAAGAATTATTGTTTTATATTCTATGATGGCCAACCAATTAGGTACAAATATATATATATATATATATATATATCTTCCACCAACTAAGATATTAATTAATCCTATGATTTTATTTCACACACTTCATTAATAGTTATAAAGTCAAATCTATAATAGGAAAGAACCCTTTGAATTGTTATGGAACTTACAAACTTTTCAATATTTTATTAACACTAGATCTATTATCCACATGATTAGAACAGTATAAAGCCAAAAGCAACAACTTTTTCTTTAAATAATAATTAATAATTGATTTTGTTGGCAATTTTATTTTTAAAAAAGAAAAATATAGAAAGAAGCATTACAATAGTTTATATATATATATATATATATATATATATATGAATATAGTTATTA